CCTTAAGATGCAGTTGATTCCAAGTACAGGACGCACGACAGACTGATTTGGAGTCAATATTCATGGCCCACCCCGTATGTACCGAAGGATTGAAGGCAATCTCTCTTGTTTCCAGCGCTGCGGATTATGATTTTTCCTCGTTGGGGTTCCCCACCCGATCCCTATTCAACGTCTGCAGTCGCCATCGAAATCTCGACTTGCTTCGGCCAGAATTTCGAGTCTCGCGTCTACAGTACAGCTTTTGCAGTGATTTCACTCATAATTTATGCGACCTTCGGCGTTGCCCATGACGATTCTACGGAGATTCGGAAGACGCGACGAAAATTCATTTTTGAAGGTCGCACGAATGAAAAGCGACCATATAGGAGCGCCTCAGATCGAAACACCCCAACATCAATTTTGCACTTTTCCCATCGGCCTCAGCCTCGACGACGAGAACTCCAGAGTTCAGCCGGAAAAACTAAATGAAAGCGGGCTGGAGACCTCAATTCGCATTATCGGTCCTCTGGGACTTAATCTTCCCCCGACATGAATTAATCCGTGCCTCAGAGATGTCTGTTCTATCAATATAGTCACTGGAATCTCCTGGGAAATATACTTTGAAGCCTCGAGCACACTCTTAATATTAGAATACCTTTATATTTACCTTTGATGTAATATTCACTTGTGACCTACGTCTCCTTTTTAATTCGTGAGTGGCTGCCATGGAAGCAAGCCCGTTGGCCTCATACAGTATTAGAATCCTTGGTCTAGGCATATGATAGGGGTAAAATTAAGTCTGAAGCTATGATTAATATATGCCAATCACCCGCATCCAGTGGCGTAGCCAATGAGGGGGCTTAGCTGAACGGTGGGGGGGGATGCATTTAGACCGGCTTGAACCAAACTTGGGTCAGCATCAGCCTCCACCCAGTCCCGTCCCCCCTCGCTACGCCACTGCCCATCATTAAAAGGCTGAACGTTCCGTGCTGGCAGTTTGCATCGAATCGAAATCATTTAAAAGCAGAGCGGAAATTGAAACGTCCATGAAACACTTGAAGAGTAGAGACGCATCCGGTCCGAGGAGAAAACGATCGGTCTCACGACTCGATTCCCTTCCGAGTTTCGGGACTTGGAAACAAAACTGCATCTGGCTCACCGAGCAAATGTATCACGATCGCGAAGATTACTTTTTTTTTCCCCATATCCAAAATTACACGAGATTTTCTACAGCGAAATCCCGGTCGGTGCAGCAGGTGCACGATCTCCGCGAGGATTTCCAGCAGTTCGCCGTAAACTCATCGGATATGAGCCTTCTAGAAATTCTAGATGACTCTTCCACAGTCGAAGGAAAAAAGGCAACTTTTAATCCTTAACCTTTTCCTTTGGGAACAAGATTTTGAATCTTCTTATTTCCAGAGAAATTCAATGGGATTTCAATATATATTTTTTATACACTGACTATACGTTCAAGCAATAAAACATGAATTTTGCAAAATTTGTATACAGTGGCACAAAAAGAATATTCATTCGACCTTATAGAAATTGATAGAATTTCTTTAGTGTCTTCGTAGAATTCTATTGAAATGTGATACGATTCATGATAGGATTTCTATGGAATCTCCATCGAATTTCCATACAGTGATTTTATAGTTTTCCTTACGACCTTCCGGCCAAAAATGAAAGCACGACTTACAAGAGGGTCACATCAGGAAATCTGGCGACTTGGCAACTCTGGCAACTCTCATTAGTCTCAGAATTCTGAATGCATTTTTACCTTAGCCTATTGCGAGCAACTAGCCTAAATCGCTCATAGACCTCAAGATAAGCTCAACGCCAAAGGAACCAATTCCCATCACACCACCAAGAAACCGTCTGAGAAAGGAGCCTGTCCACTACCACCGGGCCCACTACCACTGGGCCCACCGACACCAGGCCCACCGACGTCCAGTCGCGACTGCCACCGAGCCGCGTGCGGAAGGGCGTTGTTCCAGCACGTCCCACGAGGACAACGAAGCTCCGAATTTCTTGGGAGAACTTTCATCCGGGATTTCCCGAATTTCGCCTCTGAGTCTTATCTCTTCTCGAGATCCTGCCCAAGGGGTGTTCTTTCCCGTGAGCTACAGTCGAAAATCGGGGATTCCCCTCTTTTCCCCTCTCGAGCTGCGAGGGGATTTCATGCTTTCCGATCCCCATCTCGTTTTTGGCTAGGTATGAAAAGGATTATTCGAATCGGATAGTACCGGTATCGATATGCATAATCGAATAATGTGATTACAGGTTCATCGTGATCGATTGATTCTTAGTATGAAACAGTACGGAACAATAATTATTGAGAACGCAAGACTGGTGTCGGGCGACTAGATCGAACGGTTCAAAAATGGGCCTCGAAACGATGGATCGGTTACCAAGATGCCATCGCTAAAATTCCAAGACGAACCCTGATTGCAAGAACCCATAGAACGAGACAAAGAGTGACGTGAACCAGGTCGGTTAACCTCGACCTCGTTTCCTATGAAAATGTCACCTCATGTGGCTCGTCGTAGTCATCGTTTAACTTTGAACTGAACACGCCGGTTCGTCGGGTGCCACGTCTCGGTCCTCTTTCGTGGGTTTCTCTCATTCCGTTTAGCGATGTCCCGATGCGCCGATCGTTTATTAATGAGGGATTCGGGGGCCTTTCCCAATTCCTCACGGGTCCAACAAGTTGTTTCATTCTCGTCCGTTCGAAGATGAGACGGGAGACGGATGGGATCCTTGGGGCCCTTTATCGAGAATCGTATCGTTGAGGTCGGTTCCCTCTAGGTGCGATCTTCTGACGTGCATTGCGCTATCGCGTCTCGATCTCGTTCGTTAGGAAACTCAATCGATCATAACTGACACCCGTGGTCTCGGTAAATGGCGAGGATCCCGTCTAGAACTACGGCATTTTGGAATTACGAGACATCCGATCCATGGAGGAAGACGGAGACGAGACTGGCATCAGTCGATCTCCTTCGACCGGGGAAGGAAAGTTCGTAGGACGATAGGAGCCAGCAGGCACGGGAGAAATAAGTGTGCAGGAATTCGGGATGCAGACGCGGAAGGGATGGAAGAGGCACCGCGGCCTAAGAGTTGGTCACTTTCACAAGTTGTGTTAGTCATCAATAGAGCAATGCGTTAGGGGAATACCAAGTTTGCAGTTCGGTTCCTAACCCCTGCAAAGTTCTAGTTGCTCTGAAATTACCGTAAAAAGTAATTAGATACTGCAATGCGTTACTTGAACTCCGTTACCACCAAGCATTGTCAGCTGGAAAGCCCTGCTGTTCACAAGAAACAGTCTCGAAGCCCCCCCCCCCCCTCAAACCCTTTTTTAACATTTGCCGCCTATAGTTCCATAAGAGATTTCCAATCGGCACCAGTTATAAATGACAGTTATAAGTTTTACCGGTAGTTCTTACATGATTCTCTCCGAGTGCAGCAGTGTAACAAGTCTAAGTTTCTGTCATTGGCATGTATTTTGGTTCCTTGATCTGACAGAGATGTACGGATATTGAGAACGTGAGAGAGTAATCATCACATTCATGAGGAGCTCCACAGGTAACCATGTTATTCAGGTAAATGGATACCTCATGATTTTCCCATATTGGCCAAATGAATCTGATGCAATTGCCAAAAAGGGCTATAACCATTTTATCAATAAATTGTAGACGAGCTAGTATGCATACTCAGTTGTCTCTCAGGACCAGCGAGACCTCAATGCCAGTTCTACTGTACCTGGGAGCCAAATAGATATCAAAATCTATTCTGTTTCACCGCTCACAGAAAGTACGTGGGGCAGTCAAGAAGTTTCCAGAGTAGTCAAATAAAATATGTTGTGTAACTCCAATTTGCAGCATTCACTTTTTGACATAGTTCCCCTGCTTCTCTATGCAAGACTGGCATATTTTCATTCATACGAGGTAGCACTGGGTGAAGTTTCTTTGAGGGCATGTCGGAACCACTGCCAAATCGCACTTCCGAAAGAATTTCGAGAGGGTTAGTGGTGCCCACGAAGCGAATTCTCGAGTTCTCCAAACAACCAGAAGTCATTAGGGGCAAGATCTAGAGTGTGAAGGGGCTGCGGCAGCACTTCATTCGATACGTTTTTCTTGGGTGAGGTCGCTACGAACTTGAGCTCGGTGAGGAGGAGCATTGTCCCGGTGGAGGATAACTCACGACAAGAGGTTTGGTCTTATTTTTTTTCATTGCTGGAAGGAGTTCGCTGGTTAGCAGGTCTCTGTAGTAAAGCCCAGTGATACTTGAACCAGTAGGTACAGGATGAATGACCAACAGGCCCGAAGGGAAGGAGGCCCTCACGTGAATATTGACAAAGGCCTCATAATTCCTTTCGGCGACCATGACCAGTGGACCTTCATGTCCCCGAAAAATAGCACAATGAGTCTTGGAAGCACTAGCCACAGTCTTGAACTCTTTGGGTGGGGAGGAATCAGCATTGTTCCAAGCTCAAGTTCACATGTCAAGTTTTTGGCGACTTCCTCTAAGAAAAAGGGATTGAAGGGCTGCAACATCCTCCTCATTCTCTAGATCTTGCCCCCAATGAATTCTGGTTGTTTGGAGAACTCAAGAAGTTGCTTCGTGGGCACCACTAACCCTTTCGAATTTCTCTCGGGAGTGGGATTTTGCAGTGGTTCCGACATACCCATAAAGAAACGTCCACTCAATGCTACCTCATGTGGATAAAAAAAAGTCAGTTTTACATACAGAAGCAGTGGGACTATGTTGAAAAGTGAATGATGCAAATTGAAATTTTACTAAAATATTTTTCGTTTTTTTTTCAGCTATTATGAAAACTTTTTGACTGCCCTCATATAACTGCAAAACCGATGCAGAATAATTTATAGGGCTGTAAAACAGGGCATTTAATCAATTAATTGAAAATCCTTTGATTAACCATGCAGACTCATAGAAAGTCCCAGTTGCAATCTTGCTTTTCTTCAATGATGTGGATGGATAACAGATATTAAAAATACACCATTGAGGTTATGAAAGCTACACACTTTATTCTCTGATCAATCTAATTCCATTATCAGGAATTCCACTATTCAGGTGTTCTCTTATTACACTAGAATACAAAGTCCAAAGAATTGCATTTCTTGTTATAAAAAAATCAGGAGATGCATGAAGAAAAAACACAAAGGGAAGGAATGTAATGTTGCAATTGAACTGATAGCATGTACATATGAACCCATCACAGGACCCTTTCAACAATTATCACTGAGGTGAGCTGACTGAGCATAGAAGGTCATATCATGCTTCTCAAAAAATAGAATTCAGAGTCATGTTGAGGATGGATGATGGGAAGATGCTCGAATGGCCTTGATCCAAGCAGGAGACTCTAACAGAGATGGCATGGGATCATCCTTGTTGTGGTCCTCATCAATTGCTCTCTGCCTATTGAACTTCCTCTCTTGCTCTCCAAACTTCAAACTGAGAACTTGCACAACTGCTGGGGGGGCTTTATGACTCATCTGAAAGTGAAAAGAACAGGCATATACAACCATGTGCACTTTCCTTTTGACATTTTTGAATGCTAAGATCTCCCTTTTGTCTGTCGACATATCCAAAGTATCACTACTATCATTACTACTATCATAAGTATCATTACTAAAAGTATCACAAGACTATTAAATTAAAAAAACTGAGTGATGAGGTATCCCCTGTTCAGAGAAATTCGCATGAATTCTGAGTCCCATTTGAGGCAGAGCTATATGTAAAATTCCTTCTCTGATTGAATTTGTGCCCTAGCAAGAAGAGATATGAGACAGGACTATAAGGAATGTGTCAGACAGGAGCCAAGAAGGGTCAGACAACCTCAGGGCTTAGGTTCTGAGGGCAAATCCCTTCTCCTTTCCTTGCCTCCACTGCTCTTTTTTTTTATAAAGATATAATACAGTAGATGTCAGAACTCTTGCATTGTCAATGTATCGGGTGGTGGCCAAATTTTATTATCATGGAACCTCAGTTTAAAAAATAATATCGAATGGGCTTACAGCCATAGCTGCAGAAGCCCTTTCCTCGGTTGAGATGTCTCTCCATGCTGACAGGTAGAGGTCAATGCACTCATGGAAACGAGCAAGATACTGCTTGAGTATGTCATCATACTTGAGCAAGAGGGCAGATGCTTTCTGTGTGGCTGTTACTTTCTGCTCTGAGCTCAGGGGTCTCATGAGCAATGCCTCTCCTCCCTCCTGCCAACACAGCCATAATGTCACTCATGCTATTGGCTCAATGTAAACTCTCTCAGAATGATAATGAGAATCTTCATCAATCAATAATTATGGATATACAAGGTGTCTCACATATCTCTGACACATTTGTTTTTGTAATTAATCAAGAATGGATAATGTATTCAACATGAAATTTTGGGAAAATTGAATAGAAACTTCGGAAATTATGTTTCAACCCCCAGAATTCACACAGCATTGCTTTTTGTTCTGTAAGCAACATTTTTCCAAATGTCCTCCATTCTGGTTGATGCACTCTCTGCATCAAACCAAAGCATTATTCTTTACTACCTGCAATGTGTTTCTCTCAATGGTAGTGATAACTTTTCTAATTCTGTTCTTTAGGTTATCAGCAACCCTTGGTTTTGTGTGATACACATTGCTTTTTAGGAAGCACCATAGAAAAATATATTAGGAGCTGCTAAGTCTGGGTAATGTGATGATCATGGGGTAGCACCAAATCATAGAATGATTCATTTACCAAAATTCCTTCTTCCCAAACTTTGCAGTCCCTGATATTTTTCTCTGGTGCTTCCTAAAAAAACAATATGTACCACACAAATCCAAGGAATGCTCGTGACCTAAAGAATAGAATTAGGAAAATTATTACCACCATTGAGAGAGACACAATGCAGACAGTAATGAACAATGCTTTGGTTTGATGCAGAGAGTGCATCAACCAGAATGGAGGGCATTTGGAAAAATTTTATTTACAGAACAAAAAAGTAATGCTGTGTGAATTCTGGGGGTTGAAACATAATTTCTAAAGTTTCTATTAAATTTTCCCAAAATTTCAGATTGAATACATTACCCATTTATGATTAATTAAACAAATGTGTCAGAGATATGTGGGACACCCCATAGAATAGTTCAGAGCAAGGAATCACTTTTTTTTTTTAGGTACCTGGCAGAATCCACAGGAGTTAATAGAGATTTTAATGTACAGTTGGCTCATCAATAACTTAGGTAGAGTGGTATTCATGAAACTTAATGGTAACCTCATTGAGAACTAGGACCATATTTAAAGACCAATGTAAGCCTTAGAGACCTAGGACAAGACATTCACATAAGTTTTAAGCAGAATAATCTGCTTGTTTTTATCTACACTGGTTTGATAGAGACATCCACTATACAAAACAATGAAAGTACAATAAAAATCATTGTACTTGTACAGTAATAGCTATCCTCTCTTTAGCACAACTCTGTGGGCCCTGGTTACAGCTCTGATGCATTATTTTGCTATACACAATATTTTTCATTTTAGGATATTTCATCATTTCCTACAAGAATGACCCTTTATGTGTTAAGCATTTTCATTAGGTGTTTTGCTTGAGCAGATGGTCAGTGTTGAGGTAAGGGTAAGGATAGGGTAAAACTAGAGAAGGTTCATTAGACATACAATAATGTTTACCATGTAAAGACTTGTTTAAAGCACCAGGCATGATAAGAAAACTCTGCAACAAATTCACCAAAACGATACAAAAAAATGATAACATTGAACCTAAGCTCATCAAGTGGTGTTTTAGGGGGGGATGGCATAGGACAAGTACAAGTACAAGTCTACCTGTATCTAACTTGCATATGATATCATCAGGCCATTCATTTTTTTTATGGGTTTGCACACTCTCTCACAAGTGCCCTACTTATATTTCAGTAATTACCAAGGATATCAAGAACCCTTTAAGATTTTGTGCATCTTATTTTCTCCATTTGGAATTTTCTTTTGTTTCTGCAGTTCCAGTCTTGAGATCAAGGGATTGGGCAGGTAAATTGCAATAATTTGAAAACTGAACATAGAAAGTTGTGTCATGAAAAAAAGGTTGGAACCATGAGCCTTGAGCAAGGAAGAATCTGGGAAAGAAAAAAAGGTGTGTATTGAACATACAAGATCAAGAAGTGAGAATTTTGGAGTATGTGCCCAGGCACAGAGGTTGATGCTCCATTCTGGTGTCCAACAGGTACCCTCTGATGTACAGATGAACTTCTCACATTCCTATGAAAAGGAGCACATGCATACACAGGACATTTGCTCCTGGAGTTCCTATTCTATGAAGTATGAGCATAGAGACCTCCAAATTTTCCTTCAAATAATTATTGACATTACTTTATCAATTAATTCCTAATAATTACAAGAAATAGTAAATTTAATTTGTTTAATTATGAAGGTTTTTCTTTTTGAGTGTTGCAGAATAATCATTAATGGAAAAGTAGAGACTAACTGTTAAAATCAAAACCAGAACTATCCTAAGTGCTATATATCATGTTAGGAGAACAAAAAGGCTGATCAACATCAGGGACATCAAGTTAACTGAGTTGATAACTTTACTTTCTCAAAAATTACTTTACTTCAGCCATTATTCTCTTCAGAAACATCAGACTCAACAATGAATACATTTTAGCAACATAAGTACTGGTACCATTTACAAACAGGTGATCCCTGCATTCAGAAAGAAGTTTACTATTTTTACAATATACCAGCCGAGAATCCACTTGAGGCAAAATTGTGGCAGCACCATACCTGAATATCCAAGATGCCATTCATGTGGATAGAATATGCAAGCAGATATCTACTACAGCTCTTGGAGGAGGTGATCACTTTGAGTAGTTTCTTTGACTCGAGAATGTTCTTGAGTGGCATAGGTAGCAGGAATTTTGAGCCTCCAACAAGGACAACAATGTCAAATAGGAATGTCTCTCTTGGAATTGCAATCTGCAAAGAAATAGCACACATTATTCCAATATCCTCAGGCAAAACTGTGTGCTATCCAGTGCTCACATTTCAGATGAGTTTTTGTGATAACTGTGGCTAGTGGCTCCAGGAAAATGGGGTTTGGGTTTTGAAATAGAGAGGACGAGGTTCAGCTCAGTTTTGTTCTGGATTTTCATAACATGAAATGACTCAATGACTCAAAAGCCACAGGTATTGACAGCATCTGCTACGAGCACCTCAAAGGGTTGGTCGGCGTGACAAGCCATCTGTGGACTAGACTATTCAACATGTGTCTCGAAAGAGGCAAAGTGGCCACGGATTGGAAACACAGCCTCATAAAAGTACTTTTCAATGGGAAGGGTGCCAAAAATGATCCTGACAGCTACTGGGGCATTGTTCTGACCTCTTTTGTTTTCGAGGTCCTCACCAAGCTACTCTATAGGGGGATCACTCATCACAGTGAGCGCTATTTACCTAAAGAACAATTTGGATTTTGTCATGGTCACAGAAAGCAACACATGTTTGATCTGGGTCAATTATTCCAACATGTGAACAATTTATTTGCAGCTCAAAATGTTAAATTTTACTAGTTGTTTCCATTCGAGATAGCAAACAAATCTCATACAGCTTTGGGTCTCAGACATGAAGAGTGAAATGATGACCCTGAGAATAGATTTACATCAAGCTTAATCTAGTTAAGGCAACAAAAATTCTTGTGTTCCTCTGCACCTCAGCTTTCCCTAAGTGAAACACAAGCTAGATCCAAATATGCATGACTCACAGAAACAAGAGACAATGTAGAACCAACACCCTCAAAATTCACTCCAACCACCTTCTCCTTCTTGATTTCATCAATCTGGAATGAAACAAGGAAAACAATTATATATCTAACCCTTTCTGGTTTGATTGATAACATATATAGCAATTCCATACAAATCAACCTGAGCTCCATACTATGAGCATAGGATAGCTACATAGTTAGACATACAAGTTTGGTTGTCATGAACCATGACAACGAAAACCACTTTATTCACAAAGCTTTATTAATATTGTTTTATTAATATTGTAGCCTGGATAGCAAAAAAACCATGATTTAAGTTTGTAATGGGCATGGAGTGCAATGGGTCAGATTGATGGATATGTCAAGTAAGTTGGAAGTAATTAAAACTTTGACTTTGACACCAACCTCAACACACCCCGATTTCACTACAATTTGTTCCACTTCAAGGAAACAGGTTCAGGCCAATTCAAATTCGAGTGGGAGTAAGTTACAGAGCTTCCACAAAGGAAAGAAAAAGCATATTATCAAAAACTACTTCTGACAAAGAAAATCAAACAACAAAGAAATAATGAAAATAAAAGAATACTGAAACTAACTGAAAAAAAAACTGTGATAAGAAACTCTCTTAAAAAAAAAACCTGATTAATGATTTTGACATGACAACTGGTCAGACTCCTTTTGAACCCAGTGTAACCACCTTCAAACAAAGTTCTTAGAGTGAAGTTTATGCATTCAAAATCCTCACCCCCTTTTGTACCTTTGGCAAAAGTTCAGCTTGACACAATCAGATGATCAAAAGTTGAGGTGGTCCAACTGTAACACCCACAATTCTAAGAGAGGGCCAGAGTACTCCAGTCAAATCAGTACTGATGTTAGTTCCAATCTTATGCTCTCCCGTCAATGGATGGCCTGAAGCCTGACATGGAATGTGACATCTTAACTTTAGGAACTGGCATTTGTTTCTTTTGCATATGGTTTAAATGGTGAAACTATGGAGTTTGGACTTTAGAATCAATCAGTCAACCAGAAAGAGGAACTAATGCTGCCATTCTTTGTCAGAGAAATATAACTCTGTTCAGATTACCATTCTACACGTCTGGCACTTTCATGGCAAGGTCACTGCCATGTCATACATAACCGATTGATGTCCATAAATTGATTCAATTGTCACAATCTAAGCTCCTTTCTAGTTCAGCTCATTGCAGGGTTTTCCTTTATTTCTATTCTGTACTGGATATATCTGAGCTTCAATAGTAAAAAGGGAGGAAGCAGATACACAGATCTAAAACATTAAATGAAGTAAGGCTCAGAGTTAATGCAACTGAGTCAATGTCAGATTAGAAAATTCAGAGAACTCAAAGCTGCTGGAGAGGATTGCAACACCATCAAATAGTCCCCATTTCTGTTAAACTAGGTTAATATGCCCATGGTCTTAGGATTATGCACTATTAAAACTAAGTAAATACAATTGGAAGAAATAGCATGATAGGGTGTGGTGACTTGGTTACAGGTGCAGTGGTAGGATGAAAAGTGGTTTCTCCTAAGTCCAACAGTGGGATGACAATTTACATGAAATGGTAATGTGTTCATATCACATAGTGGGCAAAAACCGCTGTCTGCAGGATTGGCATAAGACAGTAAAACAGTTACCATCACTGCATTTTGCAAGCCATATCATACTTTCCCAACAGTATCACAGACTCTGCACAGAAGCCATACCAGCCCCCAGTTATGCTGCTCAAGTGGCCTAATGCAGGTTATATTTTGTCTTCATACTCTTATCAGACCCATACAAAATAAAACCCATAGAATTGTGCAAATTTACATGCCACCCAGGTTTTAGGAGGCTAAACATTTTTGAATGGTGCCAAACAAAATGTAGTCATGGATGTCATAAATGGAAAGCAACTGATTGAAAATATTTTTTCTTCTTCCTGGCACATGCATTCATGAAAACAAATTGATTCCTAGAGAGGAGTAAATGTAAAGGTCTAATGTAAGAGTGTGAACTGAAATGAGAAACTGCTATGGAATCAGTAGTAATGATATTATTTTCTAATCTGCACAATTTTGAACATGAATTGCAAAAGAATAATATATAAAAGCAACCCACATGAACACAGTGCTTACCGCAACATCAAAAATCTGCCCAGGAGAGTCAATGAGCATGTGATGCAACCACAGTTCTTCAGGAAGGCTCTTCCCATCTTCCTTCTTGCTAGGATTCACATTATCTAGGGATGAGAATGGGAAGGTAAGAAGAGAGTAGCTGACATCAAGTCTAACAGAAGAAGCAGATTAAGGAAAATCCAAATTATTGATTTCCTTAAATTAACACTAGAGCACTAAGGGCAGAAAATCCATGGATCTAGGATAAGTATTCTTGTGTTAGTGTGATTCCCAGTGCTAGTGTTAACCACTTACGAGTTTTTTGGAGGGCAATGAAATTGGAGGGCAAAAATGTCACATTTTTATTTATATTTTTATTCTATACATTTTGCTTGAACAAAATATGTCTGTGTAACATATTTTATTAATCTATTCAGGCAAATCAAGAATGAAACAAGAGTCACCTGTGTCTCATGCAGGCAAGTCAGTTTTGGGAAGGACAATCTTGCCTGCATCAGAGACAGACAAATTACAAAAGCGGTTAACCCTTCAAGTGCTGAGTTTTGGCTCAACCTCCTAAGTGATGAATGTACAGTGTACATGAAAATGGCTTGAAGGGTTAAACAACTACTTCCAAGACCAGCTTCAGGATAAATACCAACACAAAGATTACCTACACGAGCATGTAGTCCAGTGAAATTGCTTCATCATATCTATCAGGTCATCCCATAAGTAATGCCGTTTTTCTGGCATAGCCTTACTTGTGTCTTCTTTATACATGTATCTGCGAACATCCCATGGAATATTTCTATGCTAACTTGTGCAGGGGTTAGTCGGCAATATACGTGCAGGTTTTCACGAGGTAA